TTGTTCAAAGAGAAGATATAAAACAAAGTTCTAAGCTATTAGACCTTAGTGTTCTCCTTTTTTAAAAAGAATCGATAAGAGAATCGATAAAGAATCGAATCGTTAAACAGAATCGAAAATGGAATCGGAATCGTGAAAATCTTATCAATACCCATCCCTAGTCGAGATCAAGCGATGATGAACTGATTCTGATGTTTCTAAACAGGAAAAGGAAGAGACGGAGACGCTGGGCTCATCCAGTTCTCACTAGAACACAGCAGCAGGGACATTTTCGTGGTTTCATCCCAGAGCTGAAGCTACATTACGACAGCTTTTCTTACATATTTTAGGATCTCAGTTTGAGCTGTTGTGAGCTGAGTTGGGACCACATCTGTGAATGCAGAGAAATCCCTTCAGAGAGCCAATTGACCCAGAGAACGATTAGCTGCATGTCTGAGATTTGGCTCAAATGCAGTGGTCTGACTGGTCAGATTTGTTTCTTTGCCTGTGAATTAAAAAAAAAAAAACTGAACTTGATTCAAAAAAATAATTTTGTCCTGCAAAATTAAGCGCTACACCAGCCTCAGCCCTCCACCCTTCATTATATCCCTGAGATCTAATGAACATATTGTTTTGTTTATATCTGCCACATAATCTGCACACACCACAAGCCCTGTTTGCCAAGCTCTGCTCTCTGCTACAAACCCAGATTAAAGCCGACACACAGATTTATTACCTCCTCGTTAAAGAGTTTACTGGTTTCCTTCTTGATGGGGTCGAGATACTGGACCTGCCCGGCTGAGAAACCCACGATGAGAGCTACGCTCTCTGCTGTGGCCGAGTACTGGTTGAAGTCGTGACACGTGGGCTGCGTCCCCTTGTAGATCCTCTTGTCTATGGGCTTACTGAGGTCCACAGCCTGCAGACAACAGCGAGGAGACAAAGTTTCAGCGACATTCAGAGAACCAAAACAACAAACATCACACTTCTGTGCCCATTCTTATGTTTCTGTCCTTCTTTCTTTTTTTTTGACAATCCAATCATCACACGTTGGGGTGTTTCCATGGCAGCTGCAGTGGAGTTTGATTTGGACGTTTTTCACATCAGGGTTTGCCATCTCAGCGAAGGAGCAAAGTTTCTGTGCAGGGCCGCTGTGTTCACGAACAATCACCAACCACAGAGAGAACCCGTTAAACAGAGGGCAGGGCTGCAAAGATCTACAGCTTAGAGAGGTAACTGAAGGTTTTCAGGGTTATGGAGGTGACTCCCTTTCTGTGAAAACGTACGCTGCAGACCTAAAATGCTCTGGAGGAGGTTGTGTTTGAGAGATCATCATCATCATGCACTAAACTGCTGCTCCAATGGAGATCCGCGAGCTTAAGCTACACGAGTCGCTTTGGGGAAGGGGAAGCTGTTTACATGCGTCCTGTAGTTTCTTTAAACAGGTTATTAGTGTTTCTCATTAAGAAGCTCGAGGTGCTGCAGGCTGGAAGCAGATCCAGCTCCAGGGAAAACCCTCAGCGGTGATACTTTTCTTTTTTTCTGTCTTGCCAAAAACACTTTTTTCCTTCAGTGGGTTCTGAAATATAACTTATTCATTCACGGTGCCACACAGGATTTTGAGATCTCAGCCAGCAGCTGCACAGCGTCTCTCCTGCTGATGTTTGCATGCAGGCGGCTTCATAAGCACGAAAGGAGACGTGAAGAGCAGGAGGAGATGTACACAGTAAGATGCACATGATTTCTAGAAGTCAACCTAAAATATGAGCGTGTGTGACGTTTTTAGAGAATCAGTAACACCAGTAAAGTCCAGGATATACACAAATCAGGCACAACATTATGATCACTCGCCTAACATTGCATTGGTCCCCCTTTTTGCTACCAGAAGACCCTGATCTGTCGAGGGACGCAAGTCCTGTACTTCTGAAGCGGACCTCCGTGGATCAGACTTGTTGGTCCAGCACATCCCACAGATGATCGATTAGATTCTGGGGAATCTGGAGGCCAACTCAACACCTCAAACTCATTGTTGTGCTCCTCAAACCATTCCTGCATCATGTCTGCTTTGTGACTGGGTGGATTATACTGCTGAAAGAGGCCACGGCCATCAGGGAGTACAGTTTCCATGATTGATAACAGGGGTGGAGAACTCCAGGCCTTAAGGGCCGGTGTCCTGCAGGTTTTAGATGTGTCCTTGATCCGCACAGCTGATTTAAATGGCTAAATTACCTCCTCAACATGTCTTGAAGTTCTTCAGAGGCCTGGTGATGGACTAATCATTCGATTTAGGTGTGTTGACCCAGGGTGATATGTAAAACTTGCAGGACAACGGCCCTGACACTTGGAGCTTCCCACCCCAGATCTATAACAATGCTAAGGTAGGTGGTATGTGTCAAAGTAACATCCACATGACAAGCCTCGCCTTCTTCTCACAGTGCATCCTGCTGCCAGGTGCTCCCCAGGTAAGCAAAACACATCCGTCCACGTGATGTAAAAGAAAACATGATCCGTTAGATTGGCCCGCCTTGTTCCATTGCTTCCGTCTAGTTCTTGCGTGCCTCTTCTCTGTGCTTTTGGCACTGGACGGGGGTCAGCATGGGCCCCTGAGTGGTCTGTGGATATGTCGTCCACACGGGCCAGCCTTCATTCCCCTCGTGCTTCAGTGAGCCTTGGCCGCCCGTGACTCTGTCGCTGGTTCCCCACTGCGGACCAGGAACATCCCACAAGGGCTGCGGTTTTGGAGATGCTCTGACC